GTCGTTCTGCCATGTCCGGTCGAAAAATAAATTTTTGACATTTTTCCGAAAATTGAAAATTTGATAAGGGGTTACATCATTAAAATTGCCAAAATTTGACAAAAAATTGAATTTTTTAAATTTGAAAACTGAGTACGCAGCTTTGTTAATCTACTAAAAACTAGCATAGAACAGCTTTCCTAATTAAAATTAATGATTGTTTGGCTTAGTTATGAGTTTTTTTAAACTATGATTTTTCGGAAAAATGGTCCGTTTTTATACCTTTTTGCGGGTTTTTATAATTTTAGTCAGAAACCTATTACAGCATCAACAAACGCAGTATGCAGATTTGTTGGTGCTTTAAAAACTTGCACAGAAAAGGTTTCCGAATCAAAATTAATGCTAATTTGGCTTAATTATGATGTTTGGAAAACTCAGATTATTTAAGAAAATTGTCTGTTTTTATACCTTTTTGCAGAGTATAGCTTCAGTCAGAAGATTAAAACGCAGTGAAGGAGTCATTTCCGACCCTATAAACCATATATATTCTTGATCAGCATCAACAGCCCAGTCGTTCTTGCCATGTCCGGTCGAAAAATAAATTTTTGACATTTTTCCGAAAATTGAAAATTTATAAGGGGTTACATCATTAAAATTGCCAAAATTTGACAAAAAATTGAATTTTTTAAATTTGAAAACTGAGTACGCAGCTTTGTTAATCTACTAAAAACTAGCATAGAACAGCTTTCCTAATTAAAATTAATGATTGTTTGGCTTAGTTATGAGTTTTTTTAACTATGATTTTTCGGAAAAATGGTCCGTTTTTATACCTTTTTGCGGGTTTTTATAATTTTAGTCAGAAACCTATAACAGCATCAACAAACGCAGTATGCAGATTTGTTAGTGCTTTAAAAACTTGCACAGAAAAGGTTTCCGAATCAAAATTAATGCTAATTTGGCTTAATTATGATGTTTGGAAAACTCAGATTATTTAAGAAAATTGTCTGTTTTTATACCTTTTTGCAGAGTATAGCTTCAGTCAGAAGATTAAAACGCAGTGAAGGAGTCATTTCCGACCCTATAAACCATATATATTCTTGATCAGCATCAACAGCCCAGTCGTTCTTGCCATGTCCGGTCGAAAAATAAATTTTTGACATTTTTCCGAAAATTGAAAATTTGATAAGGGGTTACATCATTAAAATTGCCAAAATTTGACAAAAAATTGAATTTTTTAAATTTGAAAACTGAGTACGCAGCTTTGTTAATCTACTAAAAACTAGCATAGAACAGCTTTCCTAATTAAAATTAATGATTGTTTGGCTTAGTTTGAGTTTTTTTAACTATGATTTTTCGGAAAAATGGTCCGTTTTTATACCTTTTGCGGGTTTTTATAATTTTAGTCAGAAACCTATTACAGCATCAACAAACGCAGTATGCAGATTTGTTGGTGCTTTAAAAACTTGCACAGAAAAGGTTTCCGAATCAAAATTAATGCTAATTTGGCTTAATTATGATGTTTGGAAAACTCAGATTATTTAAGAAAATTGTCTGTTTTTATACCTTTTTGCAGAGTATAGCTTCAGTCAGAAGATTAAAACGCAGTGAAGGAGTCATTTCCGACCCTATAAACCATATATATTCTTGATCAGCATCAACAGCCCAGTCGTTCTTGCCATGTCCGGTCGAAAAATAAATTTTTGACATTTTTCCGAAAATTGAAAATTTGATAAGGGGTTACATCATTAAAATTGCCAAAATTTGACAAAAAATTGAATTTTTTAAATTTGAAAACTGAGTACGCAGCTTTGTTAATCTACTAAAAACTAGCATAGAACAGCTTTCCTAATTAAAATTAATGATTGTTTGGCTTAGTTATGAGTTTTTTTAACTATGATTTTTCGGAAAAATGGTCCGTTTTTATACCTTTTTGCGGGTTTTTATAATTTTAGTCAGAAACCTATAACAGCATCAACAAACGCAGTATGCAGATTTGTTAGTGCTTTAAAAACTTGCACAGAAAAGGTTTCCGAATCAAAATTAATGCTAATTTGGCTTAATTATGATGTTTGGAAAACTCAGATTATTTAAGAAAATTGTCTGTTTTTATACCTTTTTGCAGAGTATAGCTTCAGTCAGAAGATTAAAACGCAGTGAAGGAGTCATTTCCGACCCTATAAACCATATATATTCTTGATCAGCATCAACAGCCCAGTCGTTCTTGCCATGTCCGGTCGAAAAATAAATTTTTGACATTTTTCCGAAAATTGAAAATTTGATAAGGGGTTACATCATTAAAATTGCCAAAATTTGACAAAAAATTGAATTTTTAAATTTGAAAACTGAGTACGCAGCTTTGTTAATCTACTAAAAACTAGCATAGAACAGCTTTCCTAATTAAAATTAATGATTGTTTGGCTTAGTTTGAGTTTTTTTAACTATGATTTTTCGGAAAAATGGTCCGTTTTTATACCTTTTTGCGGGTTTTTATAATTTTAGTCAGAAACCTATTACAGCATCAACAAACGCAGTATGCAGATTTGTTGGTGCTTTAAAAACTTGCACAGAAAAGGTTTCCGAATCAAAATTAATGCTAATTTGGCTTAATTATGATGTTTGGAAAACTCAGATTATTTAAGAAAATTGTCTGTTTTTATACCTTTTTGCAGAGTATAGCTTCAGTCAGAAGATTAAAACGCAGTGAAGGAGTCATTTCCGACCCTATAAACCATATATATTCTTGATCAGCATCAACAGCCCAGTCGTTCTTGCCATGTCCGGTCGAAAAATAAATTTTTGACATTTTTCCGAAAATTGAAAATTTGATAAGGGGTTACATCATTAAAATTGCCAAAATTTGACAAAAAATTGAATTTTTTAAATTTGAAAACTGAGTACGCAGCTTTGTTAATCTACTAAAAACTAGCATAGAACAGCTTTCCTAATTAAAATTAATGATTGTTTGGCTTAGTTGTGAGTTTTTTTAAACTATGATTTTTCGGAAAAATGGTCCGTTTTTATACCTTTTTGCGGGTTTTTATAATTTTAGTCAGAAACCTATTACAGCATCAACAAACGCAGTATGCAGATTTGTTGGTGCTTTAAAAACTTGCACAGAAAAGGTTTCCGAATCAAAATTAATGCTAATTTGGCTTAATTATGATGTTTGGAAAACTCAGATTATTTAAGAAAATTGTCTGTTTTTATACCTTTTTGCAGAGTATAGCTTCAGTCAGAAGATTAAAACGCAGTGAAGGAGTCATTTCCGACCCTATAAACCATATATATTCTTGATCAGCATCAACAGCCCAGTCGTTCTTGCCATGTCCGGTCGAAAAATAAATTTTTGACATTTTTCCGAAAATTGAAAATTTATAAGGGTTACATCATTAAAATTGCCAAAATTTGACAAAAAATTGAATTTTTTAAATTTGAAAACTGAGTACGCAGCTTTGTTAATCTACTAAAAACTAGCATAGAACAGCTTTCCTAATTAAAATTAATGATTGTTTGGCTTAGTTGTGAGTTTTTTTAAACTATGATTTTTCGGAAAAATGGTCCGTTTTTATACCTTTTTGCGGGTTTTTATAATTTTAGTCAGAAACCTATTACAGCATCAACAAACGCAGTATGCAGACTTGCACAGAAAAGGTTTCCGAATCAAAATTAATGCTAATTTGGCTTAATTATGATGTTTGGAAAACTCAGATTATTTAAGAAAATTGTCTGTTTTTATACCTTTTTGCAGAGTATAGCTTCAGTCAGAAGATTAAAACGCAGTGAAGGAGTCATTTCCGACCCTATAAACCATATATATTCTTGATCAGCATCAACAGCCCAGTCGTTCTTGCCATGTCCGGTCGAAAAATAAATTTTTGACATTTTTCCGAAAATTGAAAATTTGATAAGGGGTTACATCATTAAAATTGCCAAAATTTGACCAAAAATTGAATTTTTTAAATTTGAAAACTGAGTACGCAGCTTTGTTAATCTACTAAAAACTAGCATAGAACAGCTTTCCTAATTAAAATTAATGATTGTTTGGCTTAGTTATGAGATTTTTTTAATTATGATTTTTCGGAAAAATGGTCCGTTTTTATACCTTTTTGCGGGTTTTTATAATTTTAGTCAGAAACCTATAACAGCATCAACAAACGCAGTATGAAGATTTTTTAGTGCTTTAAAAACTTGCACAGAAAAGGTTTCCGAATCAAAATTAATACTAATTTGGCTTAATTATGATGTTTGGAAAACTCAGATTATTTAAAAAAATTGTCTGTTTTTATACCTTTTTGCAGAGTATAGCTTCAGTCAGAAGATTAAAACGCAGTGAAGGAGTCATTTCCGACCCTATAAACCATATATATACTTGATCAGCATCAACTGCCCAGTCGTTCTTGCCATGTCCGGTCGAAAAATAAATTTTTAACATTTTTCCGAAAATCGAAAATTTTATAAGGGGTTACATCATTAAAATTGCCAAAATTTGACAAAAAATTGAATTTTTTAAATTTGAAAACTGAGTACGCAGCTTTGTTAATCTACTAAAAACTAGCATAGAACAGCTTTCATAATTAAAATTAATGATTGTTTGGCTTAGTTATGAGTTTTTTTTAACTATGATTTTTCGGAAAAATGGTCCGTTTTTATACCTTTTTGCAGGTTTTTATAATTTTAGTCAGAAACCTATAACAGCATCAACAAACGCAGTATGCAGACTTGTTAGTGCTTTGCACAGAAAAGCTTTCCGTATCAAAATTAATGCTAATTTGGCTTAATTATGATGTTTGGAAAACTTAGATAATTTAAGAAAATTGTCTGTTTTTATACCTTTTTGCAGAGTATAGCTTCAGTCAGAAGATTAAAACGAAATGAAGCAGTCATTTCCGACCCTATTAACCATATATATTCTTGATCAGCATCAACCAGCCCAGAAAAGCTTTCTGAATTTAAATTAATGCATTTTTGGCTTAGTTATGTCGATTTTCGATAAATTTACCATGAGCATAGTAGGCTCATAAAGCTATGTCATAAGTATAGTTTTTGTGTCATGTCGTTGAAATATATTTCATTTTGGTTCTAAAACCATTCACTCCGTACCATAGACGTCACACCCGGTGTTCAGAGGTATAGCAAGGTTGAAGGTACTGTACCACATCGCCACATAATGAGTTGCAAGGAAGAGTCCATTGAGATCCGTGCCAAGGGACGTGGCCAGGAGGCTATTGTCTCTCTGCGCCAGAACGAATTGATCCAGAACCTGCGCGCTCTGGTGGCCGTGCGTTTCGAACTGGCCATCTCCCAGATCGTGCTGGTCTTCGCCGGCGAGGTGTTGCGTGACGTGGGCACCATCGCCAGTCGAGGCATCATCTCGGGGGTTACGGTGCACGTGGTGTGCCGCCCGGAGTTGCCGGTCCAGGTCGCTCCGGTGTCCACCTCGATCCAGCTTAAGCCGCAGTCGGACCCTTTGCGATCGAGGGCCGCTGCTGCACTTGCACGAATGATCGGCCATCCTAGGCTGCTGCGAAACCTGTTCCAATCAGACCCTCGCATCCGTTGCCTGATCGAGAGGGACGCTATGCTGCGCCACTTCCTGAACAGCGACAAGAACCTGCGTGAGGTGATCTCGCAAGTCTTCGGTCCGGCCAGGCAAGAAATGGAACGACGTCGAGATCTTCACCACTTGCGCCTGGAGCTGGTGCCTGGCGGGTACAAGCTACTGGGCCGACTGAGTTACCTCATACGTCAGGCCTACGAGAATAATGTGGCCAAGACCTTCCAGAAAGCCCGGCCCGACTCCGGCGATGGCACGAATCCGCAGCGCGGAATGGAGAACAAGGAGCCGCTGCCGAATCCCTGGCTCATCAAGCGTTCGCCAAGCTCATGGAACTACATGAACGCAAAAATGCGGGCAAGATGTAACCGCATGATTGGAGCAATTCGGGCGCATCGTCTTTTAGAGGAACAGGAGTTCGATGAGGAGCAGGAGAACACTTCGAACTCATCCTCATCGCCATCACCATCGCCATCTGAAGGCCAGAAGGAGGCCACAACACCGCCGCCCACTCTGCCAAAGAGAAAAGCGTGCGATGTCTATCAGGATCAGCTGGAGGAGCTGGTCCAGAAGGGCTACACAGATCGTCACCGCAACCTGTACGCCCTCCGGATCTCCCTGGGCAACGTGGACAGCGCCGTCCGGTTGCTTGACCACTGGAATCGTTCGGGGGAGTAACCAGTTGTGTTCCGACCACCATTTATTTCGTTGTGTTTTTGGCGAACAGACAGACAGTTTGACTGCATCATTGTACCCCAACCGAAGATCCATTCAATCCACTCAATATATACAATTAAAGATCGGAAGAATTATAAATTTACGTTGTTATTATAATGCACTGCGGCGCATTTTTATTTGAGATTTTTCAAAATAATTTCCCAATAACTATTGTTATCAGCTTATCATCTTTAAGGGAAGACCACTGTGCAATGTCCTGCATACCTAGTCTGCCCACAGTAGTGGCTATGATTGATGGGACCTAGTTTCTCAAGCCTTGCATACATATGTATTTGATTGCTCTCCCTTGTCCCATTCCTGGCTCTGGGTCGGTAATATTTTCATTCTTTCCACCATCCATCACAACGACCTCTCTTGAAAGTCTCTGACAGATTCCATCGCCTCTCGTCTATCAAGGGGAATATGGCTGCCCCAAGGCAATCGGAATCGTATCAATTTTATGCCATTTGCCATCAGCTCACACACCTGACCCACCCAGCCACCGAATATTTCACCTGTACGTACATACATTTGCCAATTTTATTTCTCCTTTGATGAATTAAAGGACGATTGCTTTATTCATTAGAACAACCAGGAAAATGAATGCTTTAAGCATTCTAATTACGGAATTCCCTTAGCAATTACTTCCAGATAAAACTGAGATATATTTTCGATATGTTAATCAACGTCAGTAATCTATATATTACAAGAAGATACTCTTACTACTTTTGTCCTTTCAATAATATATATAAACATGTAAACTTGCTCCTCACAGAGGTTTTCTTTTTTACATTGCAAACTTTTAGTCTCAATTATAATTTTCTTTACAAAGGGGGAGCAACTTTAAATGAGTTTTCTTCTGTTTTCGCAACATTATGCACCCTTCAATTGATATCTGCCGCATTCAAATTGCGAGTTTGGTATGCTTAAAGAAAGTTTATGATGAATTATGAATTTTATTTAAAACTGTATGTTTTAGTAATTGTGGACCATGGAGTGGGGACCCGGAACCAAACTCATTTGAGTGCAAAAGGGAACAGCAACAAGAGAACAGTGTCATTAAGCCATTCAGAAAAAGTTCTCCCAAATGGGCTTAGCCGACGAAATTGTGACAAAAGCGAAGCTTTCCCAACCCCAGTCCCGACGGCATCTGCAGAGTCCTGGCTGCTTGATTAGAGTCCTGTTTGTCTCCCAGGGAAAGGCGATGTGGTGGAGTCTTGGCTATGTGTGTGTGTGCTGTGTAGCATTCTAGCTGACGGAGCTGTTGCCACCAGCGCTAATGTAGCGAAACAAGCGTCCATTTTGCCCACTCATTTTGCATTTAAATATTTTATGAAATCGCCAAAGAGCCAGCTAGTCGGCCAACCCTGCGAGTGTCCTTTGATGCGATTGCTGTGCCGGAAAAAGTGTCACCTTGAAAAGGCCAGAGCATTCGGAGGGTTGGCAAAGGTGTTTCAGTTTTCATTTTAGTTTTTGCCCCAGACTCCCTCACTTTTATATCGTGCACTGAAGCTAGAGGCCACGTCTGAACAGCAACAGCGACAGCTTTTATTTAAATTAGAAGTCCTTTATTGAGTTACCAGCAGTGAGCAACAATTTCCTCAACTTTGCTGTGGTTGTGGCCAGCCACAGTTGCGGTGGCAGTAAGGCACCTAAACACCCCAGTTCCTTCCACTTTTTTCTCTTCGAATTGAGAGATTTCAAAGGAGCCGTCTGCTAGATACTAAATTGGGAACGGATGTGTTATTCGAGGAAACAAATTTCACCTAGATACTAGCATTTCGCCAATGACACATAAGATTTTGTATTTAAATTCCATGTTTTGTGGTTTGTTTAAAGGAATTTAAGCTGACAGGTGAATGGTTAAAAATATATATGGTTCACATTTATTTTCCATGTTCGGGGTTTTATGTTGGTGAATAAATTAGGACTTCAAATGAATTTAATTTTGGGAAGACAAATCTTTATTTATTCTAAGAAAATGTTTTCTTAGCCCGAAGACTTTCTATCTCCACTACTCTCTATCCCAACTGGGGCGTAAATGAAAGTTAGGTATTAGGGAATCACTTTATGGCAAGAGTAAGCACTTTGTGTTTTTTGTCTTTAACAAGAACCTCTTAAATTTACATGTTAAAAGCACAACATAGCTAAGGGATGGGGAAGGATTAAAGGGATATCCCTTTGTGTCTATGTGTATACTTTTAGGCGCGAAGCTGAGCGTGAGCGGATGCAGGATTTATGAATATAAGGGCAGCGTTAAACGGATTTCACCGTAAGAAGGCTGTCGCACTCAGGCCAACAATCTTTCATCTCTGGGGAGATTGAGGCCAGGGAAAAGGGATTCCGCTTAAAGTTTCAGATGTTTCTTTCTGGCGCCGCCTGCTGCTGCATTAGGTTCCACATGAAGGCGTCTTTGTTTTGCCAGCTCCTTTGTGCTTCGTTTCCAATGTCCTGGCTGTTCCAGTCAGCAAGCTGACTGTCTGACTGACGACTGACTGGCTGACTGACAAGATTAGGATGAGGTAGCGCACACATGTCTCATCCAGAGTTGCACATTTCACGCCACAATGGCCGCCAAAAATAAGCGGCCGAATTTCAGGCTAAGGGTTCTGCCTTTACCCCATCGATTGATTTTGCTTAATTAACAAAGCACCAGGGAACAAACAGACCGAAATGGGTCAAATGACTGGCCTGGAATGGGAGGCCTGCTGTGTGGGCAATTAGTAAATGAGTTATGAATACATTAGGAGAACGCCGAAAGATGATCTTTATATATGTATACTTTATGCTTCCCCATAATCAAAGCCTTCGCCATTAATCAATTGCAGCGTTGGCTTAACGGCGTAAAAACAAAATTGTCAAATATCGAACATCGAGCAGTTAGACAACAGAGTCAAAACAAATGACAGCTGAATCAATCAAAACGCTGGCAAAATCCCGCTCAGTTGCCTTCCCCTTCGGTTGGCTGGCTGGGTGGATGCGGGCTCCAATTAGAGGAATCCTTAATTAACAGCCGGCCTCCAAGCTGTTTCGTATTCTTTTCTTGATTTTACCCGAGCGTGAGTCGGCAACTCGCCGCAAAAACTAACAAGGGCGAAGCTCGAAATGAGGACGGACGGCTCGGAAGTCGGCGACAGCAGGCGCCCATCAATCCTGCCAGCCATCCATCCTTTCATCCATCTTGGATCCAAACCTGAGCCTGATCCTGAACCCTTCATTAGCAGCTGGACAAAGGCAAGAGTAAACACCGAGAAATCAGCTTTGAAAATTTGCATTTTTTATTTTCCCTTCACCTTGCCGTGTTTCGCCCTTCTTTTACCTCTAATGATAAAATTCCGTGGCCTTGTAGCTGAACTTAAGAAAAAGCAATCAACTTTTGTTCTTGATTCCAATGGAATATATTAATTTTCGGCTAATTGCAAATATCGTTTAAAAGAAACGTATTTTTGCATAATTTATACTTTGATTTATTAAAAGTAATCGTTTTCTTTAACGTTGATCCTTTAGTAGTGGAGACAATTCCTATTTGCTTGCTTTGTTTGAAAATTGTTATTAAAATATCCTTATTAAAATAAAACCTACATAGTCATATTCAAAGGACTTTGAAAATAAAAAATCTTGCCCTTGGTAAAGAGCAGTTCTAGGAAGTTTTAAACAAGGATATAACAATTTCAAACAATTTCAATTTATTCTCACTTATTTGCACTAAAAACTAATCACACAAACAGATACTTTGCAACCTTCTAATTCGATAAGAAAACCGGGGAAAAATTCAAAAACAACTGCCAAGTAATAGGGGAGAAAAGGTTGCTGTAATCTGTGGTAAATGGCATCGCTCCTTGCTGGAAGCCTGTTAAAGGATTACAAGTGTTGACAAGATCCCAGTGTCAGTGAAAGTGAAAGCAATGACTGCCGCCAGACAGTGATTTTCCCACGCTCGCAGTCGTAAGAACCAAGGGGAGTGTGTGTGTGTGTTGTGTGTGGCAAAACTTTATGGCACCGCCCATGCTCCTAACATTACTTAATCATAATTCATTCCGGACCCTGACCAGGGCTCTTCGCAGGACATTAACACTAATCCTTGAGCAGAGGAAGAAACAGCATTCGCGCCATAAGCTCCGTGTAATGGTCCAGGGCATCGTAAACGAGCGCATTTTATAGCGATTCCTGTTTACGGTCCCCGAGTTCAAAGAACAAATATTATTTAGATTGCATTATGCGTATGTGCTGTGGCGCGTTTATGCTTTTCCTGTGTGTGTTTTATGATTTCAAAATTTGATGGCCCATCATGCCGTGGCACGGCACCCCCACAAACTGACCCTGTTAAAATACGTGTATATATGATTTTCACCATAACTTTTGCCAGGTGAAAATTCCCTTTAACTTTATGAAATATTTGCCAGAGTTTATGGCGAAAAAAAAAAAACCATGAAAGTTGGTTTCCAATTTGTTTGTCCTGCGATTGTTTGTTCACGCATTGCTGACTGCTAACAGCAGGACAATTGCCGGAACGAAACAAAACAAAAATCCAGGCAATTGGATTCGCTTTCAAATTGAATTAATTGCTAGCCAGAGTGCCCTTTATTGCTAACCCAAGTGAATACGGACTGGGTTGCTCTGCTCCAGAGTAAACCAGATGACATCATCATCATCATTATTCCGTGTCGACTCGCAGAAGAAAAATCTATAATTTGAAGCGACTCGATGGAGCCGCCGTGCGATTCATGTTTACGGCCGCTCAACTGAGTTTGTTGGCGGCGCTCCGATTTAATTTATGTGTACACTCAAAGCTTGTAAGCAAGCCGCTGTAATGTCTTAATGCCGCTCCGCCCAGCTCCTCTTTTGCATAATCCAAATCAAAATGTGAGTTGGTGTCATATTACCATAGATAACTCATTGCGGGAGCGACAGGCAACAGCTAGGGATGAGGGCAGGACGACAGGACGACAGGACGACAGGACGACTGAGCGGGGCAGCCACCCCCAAAGCACTTCAGGAATCAAGCTGACAAACTAAATTCAATGCTGCCGAAAGGAAGCAGAGTTCATTGACATCTCGTGTCGGGTTGTTCCTTTTCATTCAATGGGGCGGCAAAAATAACAGCTCAGTCGGTCAGT